CAGACAACTGAGTGGCACATCTGTTGTAAGTAATGAAATATCATAAGAGGAGGCAGGGATTTCTTTAAGCAGATCGCTGGACTGCATTAGTGTCTTCACCATTTAGGTGAATCTTCACATATGTACCAAAAAGTGTAATAGCAGAAATAGGTATGCATACATTTATATACATACAGAATAGTACTTTATTCACCACAGGATGTTCCAATAGCAATCATGACACTTTAAGGGTCTCTGGCTCATACTATCTTATTGTTATTTTTTTAAACCTATGTTGGTGAAACAAAATGTCCAGGGTTTACATCGAATCTGGCCAAGTAAAACTCACTCAGATTCCACAAAATGGAAGTAACAGCAGCTTTATCATCTACCTCAAGTAGTCCCTTTAATGTCCGGATGCAACAGATGGTTTTGGACAGGACAGAGGTCTGTAAGTATGTATGACGACTGCGTAAGACAGCACATGAGAGATGGATAATTAGTGCCAATAGCATGAAACAAAGCAAAGGTTATTTCAAATGAGGATCACAGAAAATTTTCTAACAGTAAGTATAGCTGAATGTGGAATTAAGCACCAAAGGAAACAATGGCCTAAGTCAATGTCACTGCAGGCAGGCAGGATTAACTACACCAGTGATCACTCAAATGATCTGTTCAGCCCACAGCTCTTGGCACTTCAACACTTCCTAATCGGTTCTCGCAAACATTCACTCAGCTCATCCCTTAACAGCATTTGCAAACCTTATTTTGGTTCTTGTAACAAGGTTTTGTTCACTTTAGTATCTGGAGAGTAAATGGTCTCCATACAAACATCCATTATCTCATAAACCCCTGAGGAATGTGGTTACTATCTTTCCTTCTTTTCCCTCCCTTCCTGAAAAGATCAGTCATCCGTCAGGAAACTGAAACAGCAATATCTGACATAGCACAATAGAAGTAGTATAGCAAATAAGTGAAACAAACAGATCTGCAAACACAGCTCAGGTGATATTTGTTCAGTCCCACTGCTTCCTAAGGATTAGCAAAACAGAGCTAGTCAATGAATGGAAACAGCTCAGTTGCCAGCCATTCAAGGAGCTTTATCAATGTTTCTGTCACCTATTTGCATCAAGTATATTGAGTATTTGCACAACTTCCTGCTGTTTACATGTGACTTTTTTTTCAAGTATATCCTGCGCTTCACAAATGAATTGTCTGGAATTTGAGTATTCTTACCATCAGACACAAAACTGCATCAAAAAGATACAGACATCTAGTTTAGAAGCAGAAAATCAACACAGCCAGATATATAAACCCCTCTGTGACAAAAGGCATCAGTGAGTGCTTTCCACTCACTGGATTTCAGCACCCAGAAGGCCTCTTAACAGTTATCTTGAACAGCGCAGCCAAAGACTATGCAATAGCATCACTATTGCCATTTTTGTAGTGTTCATCTGCCACAGGATGGAGATTAAGGGAACTATTCATATGGCAATGATCCTGCAGGAGCTTATTATGATCTTCATGAATCAGTAGTAAAATGCGCTACACTGTAGTTGTCATACCCTCCAGATGCCATGTCTTTGCTGCCCGTCTCAAAAATTCATAAAAGTGGGCATGATGGAAGATGTATGTCACATGCATTTGCTCTCTGTCTCCAAAAGAGCATGAATCTGCCATCAGTTTTGACTTAACTGATTTGCTGGCTATTTTGCCTTTGGTCATATTGCTTCTTTTCTGCAACTTGCTTTTTGATAAATCATGTCGCTGCAAGTGTAAAGACCCTTTTCCCCTTTACAGAGTATGAAATAGATCATTTTAAAAGAAAAGCTAAAACTCTCATTGACTATAAAGCGTTGTTTATGTTATCTAATAGCCTACTTGTTGTTGTCCTCCAAGCTTGTTTTTCTTATGCAACCCCTCCATTGATATAGCCATTAACCAAGTTATTTAGCCAATTTTAATATTTCTTAGTAAGTCAGTTCTGCCTCATGGGGAATAAAACACTTTTCTAAATTCTATGTCACTATTTATTCGCAAATACAAAAATATTCTGAATCTTCTTGTAAAGCAAGGCCCTAATTTTTTTTTTTGGTGACTTCTATGAGCTCTTCTGTTAGAAGACAACCCCATAGATCTCATCCACACAAAATACAGAGTTGCAGTTTCAGTCACAGCCTATATATCAGACTTAAAGCAGAACAAAACAAAACTGGAAGAAGAAGACTTGCTAATGCTGTGAACTTCTCCAGGGAACAAATGTGAGTTCTTACCCCTCTCTGGAAATCATACCTCTTTCTGAACTCTAATTAGCTGGGCAATGAAGAACATGAATTTCACCTCTTGTATAAAAATAAAATGTGTATCTTTTGGGCATACTCAAGCAAAACAGGAACCAGAAAATATGGCAATCAAAGACCTGACTTTTGAATTAGCAACTCAGTATGACAAAGTACTTCCCTTAATGCTCTGAGACTAATGACCTGGTTGCACTGATGTGCAAGGAAGGCGCTTTCATACTCCCAAATCCGTAACCTCCCAGTTAAACCTTGCCTGCACTGTCAGAAGATAAATGCTTTTTGTATTTGAAAATGTGTTCTTTTAAAGTATCTAAATAAAATAAGAGAGTCCACATGAATCTATAAACAGCAGAGAGAAAAACTGTGATTGTGATATACTGGGCAGCCTTTTTATTTAGGTAATGTTTCCAAAATTTGGGGCTCATCTGGCTAGAAACCAGGCTTTTGAAAATTACTGATTATCTAAAGGGCCAAGTCATTCAATGACAGCAAGATTAATCTAGAAATCACACTGGTTAATGACATCGCTTGTATTTACATGCTTATATTCATACGCACTTCTAATTGTACGGTTGAAAACTCTGCATCTGCCAAAGGACACATCTACATGGAATGATGCTGCAATATACACCTGGCTCCAAAGGATGCGTTTGAAGACAAGTTGGGAATGTGTCCACATTACTCCATTGTTCCAGTAGTCGTAGCAAAGGGCTGCCTTCCCCTGTCAACAGTGAATTTTTAGTTCTTTTCAACTACTCTGCTGATATCTGCTGGTATCTACTGATAGCATTTTGGGGACAGCCCAATCCCTGCACGTAAAAAACCATACTGCATTTTAGGGTTTTGAAAGAAAAGTCCCTGTACACATCAAAACGTAAAATATTATTAATCTTATAGAAAAAAACAACAACAACCCACCTGTCACTGAATTCACTTTTAATACAAACAGACCAGCAATAATCTGCCAGTAAAATTACAAAATTGCCTTCGGCCGTGTCACTTCTTCTGTGAAGACAGATTTTATCAGCATTTTCATAGTTGCACACACTGTTTCCTTGGCAGATGCTTTTTATTCTCTTACAAATGTCTGTCAAGCAAGCACCTCTTCATCAAACAACTGAAATCACTTTGTCAATAAGCTGCGTTTTACTTTTCCCTCACATTCCTTGTGAGCCTCTAAAAGCATCCTTTCTTGTACCTACAGTATTTTGTCTGCCCATTTCATCAAAAGAAGGTAGTACTTTTACCTGTAAACATTTCTGGAAAGATCATGTTTTATTGTTTGATTCTGCTACATTTTTCCTGCTAAAGTGTCATATTTCACATTAAACTAGATGTTGGTTTCTTGTATCGGACACCTGAATTTGCAAATTAAGCATGCTGTAGTGTTTGTTATCCTTGAAACAGCATGTAAACCATTTTAGCAGTATGATGGTAAACACTTGTTTATTAGGAGTCATGTACTCAATAATCACAGTGGTATCTAAAATTTCAGAAGCTCCATTTCTTTTTCAGTAAGAATCAACTTCAGAATAATGCACAGCTCCTCAGAAAACAGATATGCTGTTGTGTTTTTAGGAATGTATCTAACACCCAAGCGTGCCCGCAGCAGAGCAGCACCAACGTCACACTGAGTTTGATTTAATTTCTCAGGTAAGTTACTGAAGCTGCTGGGAAATACATCTCTGTGGTTTAATAAACATTTTTAAAATAGGCTTTCCTTCATTGCATGGAAACTGAAAAAATGTTATCAAAACTCTATTCTTCATGGTTCTTACTAGTGCTAAAATTATGTATATAGCCTTTTGATTATCTGTCCAAATAAAAACAACTGAAATCACAAGGTGTTCTTCTTTTTTGCTAGTTAGCATGGCAAAGTGATCCCACATCCCTTAAGTCACACAGTGAAGTCAATAAATGAGACTTCCAGATCTGTGCTCCTCACCCTACTCTAAATACCTGGTTATTGAAAGACAAAACTCAAATAGCTCCTTCCAGCTCAAACACCAACAAAGCCACAATACTGTCTAAAAAATACATACTTGGAAATAGGACATCAGTCACTTACTCTTTTGCAGGTTTGCAGACTTTCTTTAAATGCTGGCTAGATTGAAGTCAAGGGAGGCCATTTAGAAACTACCTTTGCTTTTCTCTAAAACATAATCAGTTCTGCTCTGAACTTCAGAAGCATTTGTACCACTGCTCATCTGGATTTCAAAAGAAATCCTAATGTCATAGTCAAATACTAAAGGGAAAACCTCTGAAAAACATGTCATGCATTAGAGAATGTGAGCTACTCCAAGAGACTTCTTAGCTACTTGCTTGAATTTTATCTCTAGTATCAGGTAATAAATTATGCTCTGTTTCCCAGTTGTTCCCTTCAAGACTCAACATTTCTCTGAATACTGTGTTTTCTTCAACTGGCCTCTCCAAGCTTATATAATAGTTTAAGTCTTCTGCAAGAGAAAGCGTGAAGATCAAAAGGAGCAACTTGAAAACGCTATCATGAATTCCGATGTTGCATCTTCCAGAGAACAAACCAGCAACCCAGAGTTAAGGTTACAGTAAATATTTCATGAAGCCCTGGTCGATATAACTAGCAAACCCAGAACATCTTAACCTATCTACGCAGAAGTACTTGAGACTCAGATTTAATTTGAGATCCAAACCCAGGTTTTTCTCTTTAGGGGAAAAAGAAAGTATGACCATAGGAAAACTTACAATAGGAGCAGCCATAGACTTCGATTCTTAACCCAATTTGTCCCTCTTCATTCCAGTCCAAAGGAACTATCCGTACATATCGAGCAATAACTGGATGTTGTAAATCATGCCGGACCACACTATCAGAGTTTGTATTTCCAGGAAATGCCTAAAGAAAAGAAGAAGAAAAACAAAATCATTGTATTACCTCTATCGCACATGCTATAAAGGTGAAAACACTACATAGTGAAGTCCTTTGAGTGTCTAAGACACACTCAAGTTTGGCTCACGTGTTTCTCTGATAGTTACCAAATTATGAGTTGATTTAAAATTTCACAACAATACCCAAACGGTAGCATTGAGACCTCTTCATGCACAATATGTATGTTGAATTCATGGGCTAGCTGCTGCTTGGTAAGACAGTAATCCGTTTTGCATTACTAATTTGTTAGTTATTAACATGTCAATAAAATTGTCCAAGAGGGGGGTTTCTGGAGACGATACTCATCCTCTATCAGTAAGATTACACGCACTAGTCATTTTTCTGCAAATATGAACACAGAAATAACTTTTCTCCTAAAATAGACAGGGACCCCTCTGATTCACAAATTCCTACGAATTTTAAAATCTTCCTTTACTTTTGATGTATTACACACTGGAAAGTGAGTGTCGTTTCTTTCCTATCCATAGCTGTCACTCACAGCACAGCATATCTTTGGTCAATAAAATTAGAAATGAGGAAAGGATGAAGAGCTCTCAAGGGAGTTTTGAAAATCAATTTAGCAAATATTTAGCACTTGGTTTGTAGGTTTGTATCTACTGGTACAATATTCCATAGCATCAAGCTTAAAGGTAAACACCTATTAGTTAATACTTTTGTCAGTTTATGGATATTTTTGTGCTCCCTCACTTGCAAAGGTATTTTTACTACAGAGGAAATATCGTCAGTAGTAATATCTACACACCTGCCATCTGAATAACTACATTAGCCTTGTTCTAGGAATCACTGAACTTCATGAAGGGAATAAAGAGTTTGGTCCTTTAAAAAATACAGATTCTAGTGAATATGCAAGGTAATGCTCCCCATTTCAAGAGCAATTTCTGTTTGGGCATGTCTTAATTTTGTCATTCTTGGCATAATCTTAGCAAACATCTCAATACAGGTTTTCGATGGCTGTTTTGGGGTTCGTTTGTTTAGTTTGCTAAATGTATTAAGGGATAAGGAAGCTGAATACAGGTGGGCATGATATTTCCTATACTATTTGATTAAATAATTGATGAAAACCAATCCTCAAAATAAGCACGATTTTCTGTAGCTCTCCAAACTTTGTGCCCTGACTTGTGCTTTACCAGTCCTTTGTCAGAATGAGTTAGAGCCACAACCAGCAAGTACTTGACATTTTGAGGGTTTCGATCAGTATATGATCCAGCAAACTTTGCTAAATGTATAAACACAGTCAAAAGTGTATGGAGCAGTCTGTCATTAGTTTCCCAGACTATTAAAATGCATTCCATTGGTCTCCAACAGAACAATACCCCTTAAAACCAGCTTTCATTTAGATAAATGTGGTACAGTAACACACGCTCTGTGGATAATGCAAACATCAGGCCAAAATCCGTCATTGAAAGGCTAAGAAATCAATTTACAAGAGCTTGTACATCACGTACTATTGCTCTAAAATGTCCTTTTCTGATCAAGATTTGTACGTAGACTCAGGCAAGTTTTCATGAAGAATTGAGTTTCTACAATTTTCATTTTTGCTTTGTTAACAAATAGTCTAATAAGATTTAAAAGTATAATTCAGACCCAAAGCTCTAATAGGAAATCTTTTTTTAATCAGGGGGTGAATCTCTGGCTAAAAGAAAATAAACATATAAATACACAATAAGAAATTCCCTTAAAAACTATTTTTAAGAACAAAGTGGAAATACGTGTATAAATTAAACATTTTTTTTCAGATTATTAACCTCATGAACTCACTGAAGTATTACTGACATATATGGTTTTCATAATTAACATGGTTTTTCTTTAACTTAATCTGGGAAAATGACCAAAATGGCTCACGTGTCTGTAAGACAGGTTGCACTGTCTCAACAGGTCAGCTCCAAAACCTACTGTCATTTCTCAGCCTGTACTGGATACTGACTGCTGTAAGCTGCTCTAAGTTTCAGCTCACATTACAATAAAAAGATAGGAGTGTTCTGAGTTACAACCACTTTTCTCAAAGGCACTGCTCCACAGGACAGCAAAAGAATAGGAGTGAAGAAAGGAAAGAAAATATGCCCCCAAATCCTTTCTAAACACTGCTTTTGAACAGAAGTTGAGCAGAGTTTTCAGAAGTACTCACTAAGTCTTTTGCTTCCTTAGGAGTAAAAATTGCTTAGCTCCAAGTATTTTTAGAAGATTACCAGGGCAGGTTTATAGGACAGATAATATCTTTTAATGGGCCAATTAATTAAGCTAAGACAAAAAGCTTTGGCACAGGAGCTTCCTTCAGCAGAAGCAGCAGCAAAAAGCTGCATGATCTCTGAAATTCATTTTGGTTTTATCAACATGCTTCAAGCACAATACTGTGCATGAAGACACAGTAAAGACGTTCAGTATCATTTTCTTTCCATAACAGACCTGAGAGAAGTGAAGGTAAGTTTGTGAAATTTGGAAGAAAAGTTAGGGAAATTAAGATTCAGACTCAGTTTTGTTTCCATATTTACAGAACAATGATATTCTCCATCAATAAATAGAAATGTTAATGCTAAATCATAAATTTCTAGCAGTACTGCAGTAAAGTAATATACAGCTTAATAGTATTATTTAGGTAAAGTTGACAAAAATGGGTTTAGTTTCCTCTAAGACTACAGTTTTGCAATAGCATTCAGTCCTCAACTTTATGGATACAGAAGTACAAATTCTCTTTTTGGGAAAATGCTTTGATCACCTTTTAGAATAAAGGATTAAAAAGTAATTCTCTGCAGTAAAAGTTTATGTTAGAAGTAAGGAAGCTCAAGCTGAATGAAATGTTTTTAAGTGAATGAACGTGAAAGCTTTCTTTAACTGAAGAAGAATGAGAGAATGTTGGTCAGATACTCAACCAAATGAACAAAAGGGTGTTTGCAATCCTTCAGCCCTTTAGTGAAGCAGAGAAAGAAAAAGACGCTTCACTCCCAGAAAATCACCCCCTCTATAACAGAGAACCTAACACGCTTAAGGGGAAGATTAATTCTTCATCTGACTTACAGGTGAAGAGTTCTCCACTGAAATTAGTGATTTATTCAAGTTTTAGAAGTACTAGTAATTAGCAAGTATGAAAATTACTTTAATGTATGTAGGGTGATGTAAAAATAGGGCAATGTGTGGAATAGTAGGATGACATTTCCAGTTAGGAGGATGAGAAACTGTTTTGTTTTTCATAATTTTATTTAATTACTAGCATTTTTTTTTCATTAATTCCATACTTACTATTATACTTGACAGACATATTTTGCCACTGGCATTTTAAGCAAAGGGTCTGCATTTATGAAAATCACCTAGGCTTTATCTTTATTTTGACACGGCAACAGTGAAAACACTACAGTCTATGTCCTATGGCACTACAGCTCTATAAATGGCTCTCCTAATCAGGAACAGGATTTGCATGTAAAACCACATGAATAAAAGCACAGTATTAAAAAACATAATGGAAACATCCACAGAAAGACAGGAGATGTCTGTGGGAAACATCAGTGGGTTTTCTTTGAGGGCTCCAAGGTGGAGCTGGCTAATCTTATGACTTTCATTTTATAGAATATCCCCCAAATTCCAAACAAGTACTTTTTCAAAACCTAGGATGACAAACTTTGAGAGGTTGACAGCTTTGTGTATGGCTGCAGCCCTCTGCCCACATAGCACAGAAAACCTGGAAAATGTTGTTCTTCCCTTGAGTTCTCAAGACCGCACCACTGAGGAGCGGAGCAGGACAGGCTACGTGCTGGGAGCTCTCGCCTGCACTGCTGCAGAAACGTACTCAGCAGAGCAAGGCAGGGCAAATCCAGGAGCCCTGGAAAAATTCCTATCACGTACTGGTTCTGCACAAGCTGACTGAACATTTCCAAAAACCCCCACAAACTTCTTAACTGCCATTAGACAATGGAGCCAACCTGTAATTACCCGCTCAAACATTTCTCTGCTTGATACCTATGAAAATCCAGCCCAAATAGACTACAGAAACTGAAGCAGTGAGAACAAAAGGACTGGGTAAAGCAAAATGTTGAGGTTAACTTCAAGGAGGAAGGGGAGGGAGAAAAAGTTAAGAACAACAGCTGGTAGGAAAACCAGTTGCAGAAGGAAAGAAAAATAGGAAATCAGCAGGAAAAAAAAACCAAAACCTGAATGGGTCAGAAAGCAAGAAATTTGGGTTTGGTCTATTTAGCTCAGCTTTGACACATTCCTGTACTTTCATTTCCTAGTACCATGTGCAGTGAGAATAGGTGATACGAAGCAGTAGTCCTGCTTGAAGAACCATTTCTTCATTCTCTCTATTGAACAGCAGAATTGGTAACTCTACAGCTTGCACACCCTTAAACCAGAGCAAAGCAAGAATTTTCAAAGCAAAACATTTCTATAGCATCTTTTATAATCAGCTCACACAGTAATGTAAGTTAGTAACATAGAAAAACAGTATCTGAAAGCACTAAAAGCTGTAACAGGTATTTCCCTTATCCCAAATGATTAAACCCTCAGATGGGAACTTCAACAAGTGCTGAATCTCATATTTGAGATTCATTGTTATAAAATGACCATAGCTCCTAAGAGCTCAGGATTAACAACACGTCAATAAACTAAACATTCTAATCCTGCTGACAGCACTCTGTGCTCATATAACTTGATTCTACCATCGGCGGTATTAGTACTTCCAATTTCAGTACAGTCAGCTACACCCTTTCCTTCACGCATCTGTCAAGCAAGTTACCTATGCAACAAGTGCAGCACCACCAATTTCTGGAAAACTAGTCACATACTCAAAGTAAGGAACATTTAGTAACAGACTTTTAATGCAACTGAATACCCATTTTTTCTGTGCCCAAAGCATTTCCTAGAATTTTTAAATAGCCCCGTAATTTATATCACCTTCCTCCCTTAAATTCTCTACTGATTCCCAGGGGGTTTACTTTCAGGATTAAATTCTTTGTTTA